TAACCTCTGCCTAAGTCCCTGATCCCAGCCTATACTACCTCTCCCAAAGTGTACTTTATTAAGGATCCTCTTGGTGTCCTTTGGCCTCATTGACTCCTTCCTATCCACCTACCAACATGTTCAGTTCTCTCTCATCTTCAAAACCACCAACTTTTCCTTTGTCCTATCTCCCTCTCCACCTTAGGCAATCTTTCCCTCCATCTCTTCACCACCAAACATGAGCAAAGTCCTTGAAAGAAAGGATGCCAGAGCCTCTGCTCCCTCCCCTCCCGTTCATCAGTGACCACTCGAACACCATATTCTGAGATCTGCTTTCAGTCTTCCTCCTGAGCCATGGAATCATTCAACACTATTGACTCCTTCCTTATTGAACAACTCGCCCTTGGTTTCTCTGTCATACCTCTCCCCCTTTATTCTCTTCCAATCTCTTAGTTTCTCTCTGTCCCTTAAGCAATTGGTTTACATTTTAATTTGTATAAAAATTACCCGAGAATTCCTGGATTCATCTCCAGAAACTGATTCGGGTCAGAAATGGGGCTTAAGATTTTGGTTTGATTTGGGGTTTTGGCACTTTTTTTTTTTTGCATTTTTTTTACTGTGGTAAAATAAATGTAACATAAAATGTAGTTTTAACTATACATTCTGTGGCATTAGATACATCTACAATAAGGAATCTTTTTAACAAGTACCCCATATGATTCTGACGCAAGTTGAAACACCACACTGTGACGCTTGGGGTTCCTTAGTATCCATCCAGTCCTCTTCTACATATTTTTCTTGGGGTGATTTCGTCTGTTCCAATACCTTTAACAACTGCTTATATGCTGATAACTCCCAGTAGTTATAAGCCCCACCTTCACAGTTCCAGATTAATATTTCCCTGTTTTGTAGTCACATTCCCTTGATGGCTCAGATGGTAAAGAATCTGCCTGCAATGCAGGAGACCCGGGCTCAGTCTCTGGGTCAGGAAGATCCCCTGGAGAAGGGAATGGCAACCCACTCCAGTATTCTTGCCTGGAGAATTCCACAGAGGAGCCTGGTGGGCTACAGTCTATGGGGTAACAAAGAGTCAGACATGACTGAGTAACTAACTCTTTTCCCTAGATAGTTATCTGGCACCTCAAATTCAACATATCCCAAAAGCAAACTCACTACCTTTATTCCAAACCTAATCCTATCTCAATTGTTGGCATCCTCTCATTGCTCAAGCTACAAATTTCAGTTAATTCTCCTCATTTATACTTCCCACATTGAAATACAGCCCAGTAAATTCTACCAATAATATGTAAGTTCCACTTATTCCATCCATGTGACTGGTGCCTACCAAAGGTTTCCAGGTACATCTTCAGTGGTTTCCAGGTACTTAGAGTCTTGCCCATTATCCAGTGCCTGATGACTACTGTTCAATAAGGTAGCTGCTTGCTAATTACATTAAATAAAATGAAATAAAATTTAAAATTCAGCTCCTCAGTTCTGCTAGCCACATTTCGGGTGTTCAGTGGCCATATGTGACTAGTGACTAGATTATTGGACAGCGCAGATACAGAATATTCCCATTGTTGCCGGAAGTTCTGTAGGACGGTGCTAGTCTTCATGCCTTTCCTCCATACGTCAGTCATACTGAGATGAACTTCGTAGCACAAACTCCTGCCTGCCTTTGCTCTCCCCTCTTCCACTTTGCAGTGTGGTTCAACTGTTTGTCCTAAAAGATGGCTCAGATGTTACATTTTCGCAGAAGTCTTCCCCAACTACTATAGTACTTACATTTGTTACTATACTCTAGTGAGGACTTTGCATGGAAGCCTCTATTACAGTGTTTACCTCATCATACTATAATTGTTTTGATGCCTCTTCCTCACCACCAGGAGACTGAGCTCCTCAAGCTCAGCTTATTTTTGTATAGCCCTAACTCAATGTCTGACACATGGTAGGCAGCCAGGAATTACTTGTTGATTGAAGATATGAATGAACAAAAGAGAAATACACCAGAAGTCACGTACTGAGAAGAAAAGGGAGACCTATGAATGAGCAAAAGACTATCCAGGATACTGTAAAACTGGGAAAACTAGAAAGTTGAGAGGAGAATATGCTTAGCCTTTGGCATGGATTTTTGAGTAATGTTTCCCAAATATATATCTGAGATAGGATGTTCATTCCAAGGCCTTCTTTATTGATAGTTTGGAAGAGAGCAGCAAATAAAGACTAGATACAAAAATTTGGAAGTCATTCACATAGAATGATTAAGATTTAATGAGTAGTAAATTCCAAAAATAGGTGGATGTAATAGGGGACAAGATCCTAGGTTTGAGGGCTGCTGATAGTTTTTGAGTGAGGAAAATAAGGAACAACCAAAAGAGGTCTGGTTAGAAACAGGAAAAAAAACAAAAAGATAATACAGGACCATGTGCCAGACAACATAAATTTTTAAATCCTGAACCCTATGGGATAGACACTATTATTATCCTCATTTTGCAGATGTGGAAACTGAAGCATACACAAATTAAGTGACTCCCAAGGTCACACACCTTGTAAGTGGCAGAGCTGGGCTTTGAACCTAGGCAGTGTAGTTGTGGAGACTGGGCCTTGACTCCTATGCCTTGAAATGTCACAGAAATCAAGACTGAGAAGAGATTCCCAAAAAACAGTGTAAAAGAGCATATGCTTTGGAGTTACTATGCTGCTTCAAATTATGTGTTCAGACCTAGGAATAAGAGACCCAGCCAGGCCACTCTTAGCTATGCCTGATGTTCTTAGAATTTCCCTCACAGAAATCAGGCCTAATTCTAGGTTTAATACCTAGTAGTAGCCCTGCTGCTGCCGCCTTCCAGTTAAATAAGCATATTTTGCAAACATAGACACCCTGATAGGTCTCCGTAAGTGCTAACTACCCTCACTGTGCTCTTGACTTGCCAGCATCCATAACCTTTCCCTGAATTTCTGAAACTTCCAATCTGATCCTAGCTTTGACTTCTGGATAGGACCTCCAAAAGTGGGTTTCATGCTGAGGAAGTAGGGATTCCAAGGCCTACTCCAGGATGTATTAAAATCCAAAAGTCAGATCCTTCTCAGCAATCTGGCATCAAGTGTGGCCTAGGAACAGTGCAGTGGAAAGAACATCAGGTTTGGAAGGAGGCTCTGCCAGTAACTCATTGTATGACCACCCTATTCAATTCATTTAACCTCTCTGAGCTTCAGTTTACTCATCTGTACAACTGAAATAACCAGACCTTTTTCCTATGCCCAGATGAGCTAAACGATATAAAAGTAATTGGCAGAATATGGTTATGGTTAAACCAGAGTGCTGTTATCTTCTAAGCATGCTATGGATTACAACCATGCCTGTTAGATCAAAGGCTTATGAGAAAAACATCTTGTCTCTAGAAAACATGCATCTTACTATTTCAAATAATTTGTTTTTTAAGATGAGGAAGTAATAGGAGTGTAGCTTCAGCTTAGAGAACATTTTATAGGAAGCAATGCTGGGAGGGAGTGATCGTTATGACAGTCGCACAGTGATAGCAGTGATTACAGATGTGAGTTTACCTACTTCTCTGCTGATCTTAATTTAAGAACACTTTGCAGCCCTGTGACCCTGTTGATGCTCTCTCCCTTCACCAAGGCAAGGTGAAGAAATATATATGGGGCTGTGGCAGGCTCCATATTGGTCCTCTGAAATGTCCACATCCTAATCAATCCCTGAGACCTGTGGTTGCTACCTTCCATAGCAAAAAGGATTTTGTAGATGTGTACAGATGTGTTGAGTAAGAATCTTGATTAAGGATTTTCAGATCAAGAGATTAATCCCGGTTATCAGAGTTGGCCCTAAATGTAATCATAATTGTCCTTATAAGAGGGAGGCAAAGGGAGATTTGACCACAGTAGGTGGAGTGACAGAAGCAAGAAGTCCGAGTGATGTAAGGAAGGACTGGGAGCCGAGAAATGAAGTTAGAAAAGGCAAGGAAGTGGATTCCCCCAAGAAGCCTCCAGAAGGAATGCTTCCCTGCCAATACCTTGATTTTAGACTTCTGACCTCCAGAACTGTAAGAGAATAAATTTGTGTTGCTTTTAAACCACTGAGTTTGCAATGATTTGTTACAGCAGGAATAGGAAACTAATACAGGGATTCTGACTGCAATGAGACTGGGCTACAAGCCAAGCAGCAACTGTCCCAAATAACTCCTGATTGCAGGAAATGGCCCAGTGACCAAAGGAATAGGCTGGGGCTCCATCGACATGAGTAACTGAGGAAACTTCAGTCACTAAAAGCTTTGGGAGATGCTTCAGCATCTGAACCTGACCTCCTAACATTTCTATGGGCTGAGCAGTTACCTGACCTGTGGGGAGGAACTGTTGTATTTGAAATCTGCAGCAGTTAGTTTCAAAAGAGATGTATAAATAGTGCTCATAACGATGAGGTCCCAGTACCAAAAGGGTAATGATTGTATAATGGCCTAGGAGAGCCTTTGGAGATGGTAAGAATATCTTTGGCTTCAAGAAAAGATCATCTTTATTTATCCTCAAAATAGCCTAATTTAGGAACCAATACCAAATATGACAAGAGACTTACTGAGGAATAAGAATGAAGAATGGTCCTGGATAGACTTTAAAAATATATATCTGTAATCCAGTATATTCAGGAATTAGCATTTCAACATGCAGTCAATATAAATAAAAATTATTAATGAGATATGTTATTTTCTAATACTGCCTTCAAACTCTAGTGTGTATTTTATACTTACAGCTCATCTCAGTCTGGACTAGCCACATTTCAGATGCTTATTAGCCACATGTGGCTAATGCTACACATTTATGTCAAATCAAAAAGCAATTTATCAAGTTCCTTCCATATACCCAGCATGCTTTTAGCTGCTGTGGCCGGGGGGGCAGTGGGGGTGGTCAGAAATCAGTTAAACCAGCCTTTTTGGCACCAGGGACTGATTTTGTGGAAGACAATTTTTCCATGGATGAGGGTGGGGGTGGGGTGATGGCTTCGGGATGATTCAAGTGCATTACATGTATTGTGCACTTTATTTCTATTTTGTGGCAATCTCAGGATATTCCTCCTTGACTTTAGGCTTAGGGTTCGGGCTCCTATGAGAATCTAATATTACCACCAGTCTGACAGGAGGTGGCGCTCAGAGGGCAATGTAAGTGATGGGGAGCAGCTGTAAATACAGATGGAGCTTCACTTGCTCACCTGGTGCTCACTTCCTGCTCTGCAGCGGGATTCCTAACAGACCACTGACTGGTATCTGGTCTGTGGCCCAGGGGTTGTAGACTCCTGAGTTAAACAAACCCAGGCTTCTAAAGATTAGATTTATTTTAGCACCTATGTTAAAGTTGAGGGGCATAAAAGAGAGGCTCATACATAGCATGTGATCAGGTGAGCTTCAGAAAAGGAAAAATCATCATAACAGTAGGTTTTGCATCCACAGAGTTAAGCAAACATGGATCAAATGTATCTGGGGAAAAAAATTACAGAAAGTTCCAAGAAGTGAAACTTGAATTTACATTATATTTACAACTATTTATGTAGCATTTATACTATATTAGGTATGACATGTAATCTAGGGATGATTTAAAGTATAATGGAGGATATACATAGGTTAAATGCAAACACTACATTTTATATGAGGGACTTGAGCATCCATGGATTTTGGTATCAGTTGGAGTCTTGGAACCAATCCCCCAGGGCTACTAAGGGACAGAGCTGTATAGCTTTTGCAGTGGTAACAAGAGGAAAAGGAGCATGCCCTATAAGCCAAGTAAATGAACCTCTCTGAAAGGGTACACAGAAATGGATGTTTTATTCACTGAGGACAGACTGGCTGGTCTGGAATGGAGATGTCATTCTGAGCAGTAGTGAGAAATAACAATGCTCTTTGCCAATGTAAGTAGATTCTGGATGAAATATTTAAAGTAAAAAGAAAACCATAAGCATACTAGAGAAAAAAAGGTAATTTTAAAAAATTGGAGTACTTTCTAAACACAAGACTCCAAAAGCCATAGAGAAAAAGATCAATAAATTTAACTCCCTAAGGCAAAGGGGGAAAAAATCCAATAAAGTCACATGACAAACTCCCAAGTAGGAAAACTTTGCAATACATGTGACAAAGGGCAAATTTCATTATAATACAACCAAGTCTTATACATCTATTAGAAAAAGACATGCACAGAAAATGATAACAGCAGATAAACACCTGAAAATTTGTTTAATCTTATTCCTTATTAATTACATGCAAATAAAAATGAAGGAATACTTTCATCACTTAGAGCAATATTCACGAAATTCTTAAACAGTGATGGTGAGAATTTGGGAAAGTAAGTATTTTTATACCTTGTTAGTGGGAATATAAATTATAACCAATCTGAAAGGCAATTTGTCAGTATTTACCGAAAATGTTTACTGAACATACCTAGAAATTCCACTGCTAGGAATTTATCCTGTGAATATACTCACGAAAGTATGTCAGGATGTGTATACAATATCACCCATTACAGCTGGTTGATAAAAGTGAAAAGCTGGAAACAACATAAATGTCCATCAGTAGGAAACAGTATGGTACAGCCATAAATAGATTACTATGCAATTGTTTAAAAAAACAAGGTAGGGACTTCCCTGGTGGTCCAGTGGGTAAGACTCTGTGCTCCCAATGCAGGCAGGCCAGATTCAGTCCCTGGTCAGGGAACTAGATCCCACAAACCACAACTAAAAGTTCACAACTGAAACAGACACCACATGCTGCAATTAAAACCTGGTGCAGCCAAATAAATATTTTTTAAAAAGAAGAAGGTAGATCCATACTTGCTAATATTAAAAGGTCTCCAAGATATTTTAAGTACAAGAAGAAAGGTACAGAACAATTTGAATGGTAAGATCCCATTTTTTTACCTTTTAAAAAGAATATACACACAGAAGGTAATACAATATTTAAAAGTGAAAAATGAAATAATTCATTTTTATAAGTATAAGCATATTTAATCATATCAAAGAATCAACCAAAAAGTTCAAATGGCTCATTTTGGGAGGTAGGGAATGCAGCAAATAATTGCTTCTGTATTGTTTGATTTTTTAAACTGTATGTACTTAGTGCTTTTTTAAAATAATTAATTTTAAATATTTCTGAAAGTTAAGAAACAGTGTCTTTCTAAAAATAATTTCCTCTCATCCCCCATTGTCCCATCCACCTATCTATCTAACTTTTCCTCTCAGCATAGCCAAAATTCTTGAGAGTTTTAAGTACCTCTTGTCTCCATCCCTTACTTCGTACATCTTTCTCAACCCTTCAAAATTTGATTCTGTCAAAGTCACCAGCCACATGTGGCTAAAGTCATTTTTTTTGGAAACCTCTTGGGCTCCGGTGACAGCACTTAGCCAGTTGTCTTCCTCCATTTCTGCAGACCCCTCTCTACTCTTCCTAATGATTCTGTCCCAGTTTCCTGTCTTTCTTTGCATGATCTCCTCCACTCTATGGCTTTAGTTATTACCTATGTTCTGATGACTCACAGTGTCTTATCTCTAGTCCAGACATCTCTCCTGAGCTTCAGAAGTATTTAACATCACCATGCATCAGTACTTCCCAGCATTTCCTACATCATGGCACACGCAGAAAATGATGGTGCTTTTGTGGCAGTCCACCCTTGCCGAGACTGTGCTCTGTTGGAAGGAGCTTGTGCTGCTTTGAGAGCTGAGAAGATCAACATGCAACTCACTGGGAAGCTTTTCCTGAGGCACAATGGTAGGGAAGCTCTGACCTCTGTTTGTTTTTTTTTTTTTTTGCTCTGACCTCTTGGCTAGACATTTCCACTTGGACATCTTCCAGGCATTTCAGTGTGAACATGGTTGGAAGTGAACATATCCTCTCCCAAACCTGCTCTTCAGGTGTTTTTGATGTTTCGGTGAGTGGTCCAGAGGTCTTGGCTTAGCGCTCTGCTTCCCTCCTCTTCCAATCCCAAGATCTGCTGACTCTAATACTATTTATATCTTTAAGTCATCTCTCCATCATCCCTATCATTTTCCTAGTCCAGAACCCATAGTTTCTAATTTTTCCCAGTTACTACAAAAACTTTCTATCTGGTCTCCCTTACTTCAGTCTTGCTCTCTCTAATCTGTTCTCCACACTGCAACCACAGCGATCTTTTTAAAATACGGTTTTAATTATGACCCTCCTCCCATCCTGCTTAATACCATTCAAAGGCTCTGCACTGTTTTTAGGATAAAGAATGATTGTCCACTAATTAATTATCTTTTCAATCTCATCACTTATCATACCTCATGTGAATTCCTTATTAGGTACCTAATACTACATGCACAGTGCCTGTGATATAGTAAAAACTCAATATGAATTTTTGAATGATGAAAATGAGATTCAAGGACCTGAGCAGATCCACCATATCTGTGCCAAGTAGAAGCTTTCAAAGCACATACTGGCAATGCTGTCAAAACCCAAAGAACATGTTGTCCTATGTGGAATTAAGCAGCACTAGCACAGATCTATTCCTATTCAGCAAATGAACCAAATAATAGCCTTTCCCGAGCTCCTTCCTCTTACTGAGCAGGAAAGACAAAAAAATCAGGTTACCAACCTAACTGTCTCCTTATGTCAGGAATTCTAAACTGGGGTCAGTTTAGATACAAGTGTATTTTGCATTGTAGAACTTAGCTATTTGATATTGGAATACATTCTTATATGTGCATCATTTTAATGCACATTTCTTGCTTTATGTTTTTTTGCTAATAACTTATTACTTGCTGTGTATTTTATATTTATTTTAGACTAGGGAAATGATGTTAGACAAAAAGCAAATTGGAGCGATCTTATTCAAGTTCAAAATGGGTCATAAAATAATGGAGACAACTCGCAACATCAACAACACATTTGGCCCCAAACTGCTAACAAATGTACAGTGCAGTGGAGGTTCAAGAAGTTTTGCAAAGGAGACGAGAGCCTTGAAGATGAAGATCACAGTGGCCAGCCATTGGAAGTTAACAACGACCAATTGACAGGATCATCGAAGCTGTTCCTCTTACAACTACACAAGGAGTTGCCTAAGAACCCAAGGTAGACCATTCTATGGTCATTCAGCATTTGAAGCAAATTGAAAAGGTGAAAAATCTCGATAAGTGGGTGCCTCATGAGCTGACCACAAAAAAAAAAATCATCATCTGAAGTGTCATCTTCTCCTGTTCTATGCAATGACAACAAACCATTTCTCCATCAGACTATGATGTGAGATGAAATCTGATTTTATATGACACCTGGCAACAACCAGCTCAGTGGCTGGACCGAGAAGCTTCAAGGCACTTCCCAAAGCCAAACTTGCACCAAAGAAAGGTCATGGTTATTGTTTGGTGGTCTGCTGCTGATCTAATCCACTACAACTTTCTGAATTTCAGCGAAACCATTATATCTGAGAAGTATGCTCAGCAAATCGATGAGATGCATGAAAAGCTGCAAGGCCTGCAGCCGGCATTGGTTAACAGAAGGGGCCCAATTCTTCTCCTGACAATGCTCAACTGCACATTGCACAACTAACATTCACTTCAAAAGTTGAATGAATTGGGCTACAAAGTTTTGCCTCATCCACCATATTCACCTGACCTCTCAACAACCGACTACCACTTCTTCAAGCATCTTGACAACTTTTTGCTGGGAGAATGCTTCCACAACCAGCAGGAGGCAGAAAATGCTTTTCAAGAGTTCATCAAACCCCAAAGCACGGATTTTTATGCTATAGGAATAAACAAACTTATTTATCACTGGTAAAAATGTATCAATTGTAATGGTTTCTATTTTGATTAATAAAGATGTGTTTGAGCCTAGTTATAATGATTTAAAATTCATGGTCCAAAACGGCAATTACTTTTCCATCAGCCTAATAACACAGTAACCAAATGGCTACAATGACAAACTGAGGAATGAAGATGCCCTAACACCAAATGAATGACCACATAGTATTGAAGTAGAGAACCCCATTCAGTGTACTGATGTGAGCAGTGAGGGCATGGTTCTCTGAGATGTCACCTACCAGTCATTCATCAGCACTATATGCACAGTTAGACCATGCCACCAGACTTGTTTATTACCAACAGCTTGCAGCAACCAGAAACCTAAGAGGGCTAGCTTATTTTGTAACATGGATAACTCAGGTAAAGAACAACTAATGGGACTTCCCTGGCAGTACAATGGATGAGAATCCACCTGCCAATGCAGGGAACTCAGGTTTGATCCCTGGTCTGTAAAGATTCTACATGCTTTGGAGCAGCTGAGCCCATGTGCCACAGCTACAGAGCCTGCACTCTAGAACCTGCGAGCTGCAAGTACTGAAGCCCCTACACCTGGAGCCTGTGCTCTGCAACAAGAGAAGCCAACTCACTGAGAAGCCCGCACATCGGAAGGAAGAGTAGCCTGAATTCGCCATAACTAGAGACAGCCCATGCACAGGAACAAAGACCCAGCGCAGCCAAAAACAAAGAACCATTTATGATCAGAAAACCAATGTTGGGACTTCAGTATAATTTTTAATAAGTGAATAATACCATTAAGAAATTAAGGTGTATTAAGCCTCATCAAAGACAGAAAGCATGGAGCAATTGGAGCTATACTTCTTTCACCTCCTGTCAGTGAAGATAAAGGTCTGTGAACCATAGAGAATCTGCCAAAATCTGTTATATCTAAACTTTAAAGTGTGTAAGAGCCTTTAAGTTAAGGAGAATAGGTACTTGTTCTGACAAGTGCAGATGTTCTGGCTGTGTTTATTAAACAAGGGTAAACATCTGAATGTGAAGTAAAAAATCATCTAGATGGCTTGTTTGCTTCCAAAATTTAGCTATTCGGAAACATCCAAAAATAGTTAAAAATGCCTGGCAGACTCTTAAGGTTTTTTCACGTGGCTTTGGAGTGCAACAGATTTGTGGACTTTTAAACCTTTTCAGGAAACCATCATGTCTCATATTTGTTGATTCCTATTCAATAAATGTTAAATGACTGAATGAGTAAGAATGCCGAAGGATTCCAAAGATGCCAATATCTATCATAAGAAATAAGGTGAGTTCTCTCAAAATGAAATTACATTGACAAAAAGATGTGTACAAGAATATTTAGAGCACCTTTATTTACAATAGCCCCAAAATGGAAACACTCAAATATCCATCAACTGGGAGAATGGATAAACAAGTTATGATACAGTCATGCAATGGACTATTACTTGGCAATATAAAAGAATAGATTACACATGGCTGAATGGCAAAAACATAATTAAGCTAAAGAACACAGACACAAAAGAGTACATACTATATGATTCCACTTATGTGATATTCAAGAACAGACAGCGATGGTGATAAAATTCAGGAAGTTGCAGGGCGTGTGTGTTGGTGGGTACAGGGTAATTGTGCAGGGGGATGACCAAATTCTTTGGGGGTGACAGTTCAGGCGGGTTACATAGGTGAATATATTATTGTTGAAATTCACCAAACAGAACACCCAAGATCTGTGAATTTTATTGTATGTTATGGATAAATCTATTTTTTAAATTGTTTTAAAGCCAAAGGTGAGATCTGATGGGAGTAACCACCATCTTCTAGGCTCCAATAATCACTATACTCAGGCACTCTTCATCAAGCTACCTCTACACTCAAGAATCCAAAATGACTTATTACTTGTCCTGTCAAATCCATATCTTTATTCTCATCTCCATACAAAACTTCCTCCATTAACTTCTCCCACTTCCCACCCTACCACTGGTATCTGCTCATTGTCCCATGCAGATAATTTGCTCTTTCCTACCTGAATCTCCTTGTGTCCTTACCTGGCCTGCATCCTACTCAAGTTCTCTCTGCCCTTCAAATTCCGTTTTAAATTAAGGAGCCTCCTTCAGAGTGGAATTCTTGGTTAATTCTAGTCAATTTGAGCACCCAATGTTCCCTCAGCTCTTATGTTCATTTACTGGATAATGTGGTGTATACCCCAATTTTAATAAAATGCACAGAGACTGTGGCTAGGAATCCCTTTGTATTTCTCTGCAGAACCCACTTCAAAACCAGCGTCACCGGGCCAGCTTATATGGTATCCAGACAAACAGCAAATAGCTGTTTAACCAAGGACCAATGAGAATCATATAGGAGGGAACTCTGAGGCCCTTCAGGGGCCTAGGTGGGCTGTTGGCTTTTCCTCTTTCAAGCAAACAGTTCAACAAGGAAGGATCTGGTCCCCACTGAGAAAGCAAGTGGCTGAGAACAAGGTTGTATTCTTCTTCTGCTCAGTCTTCCCTCTTCTTTAACCAGTGAGGAAAAGACCAGCACTCCTCTGAGCGGGGCAGAGCCAGTTTCCAGGGCTCAGATTTCCATAGTGCTCGAAGGACCCGATCTGGAAGGAAGAAAAGGGTGGCGGGAGCATTTAAGGCCAAGTAGGCACTCAAGCCTCTTCCCTTAGATTTACACCCAACACGTATGCAGGAAAGCGAATTACAAACACCGACGCTCACAACCACATATACACGTGCACGCCCAGTCCTACAGAAGCAGACGCGCATGCCCACTAATCCGCGTGCACCTACTTAGTTTTCTCTGCTATAGATGCCTCCCATTCCACCACCGCTCGGCCCAGCCTGGCTTCTGTCCCGGCACTGGGGAGGTTTACTAGGCCCGACCCTGCCAGGTCTGAGAAGACTGTTTCTCTATGCACGGGGTGGTGGGGTGTGGGCGGGAATGGCCTGTAGGGGAGGTCTTTCCTTCAGGGCGGAAGCAACGCGCTCTAGCCCGGCGGACCTAGCTCTTGTCCTGGGAACATCTGGAGGGGGCTGGGAGGGGCGCGCATCCAGAGTGAACGTGGATTGGCTACGCGGGGGGGGGGAGGCGGGGTCTGAGCGAGGGGCGGGGTTCACTGGCCCCTTTAAAGCCTTGACATCAAGAGGCGGCCCCAGCACCCCCCCTTTTCTTTGCCCCCCGCCCCAGAGCCGCGGCCATGGACCCGGCGGATCCGGCCTGCCCTGGCCCAGCTCAGCACCTGATTTCGGTGAGTTCTGGGCCCACTTGCAATTTAAAGGGCGGCGAGTGAAGGGTCTGTAAGCCCCGGGCCGAGGGTGGGACGTATGGAGGGTAAGACTCCCGTGGCAGCCTTGGGTCGGAGAGGGCGGCGCAGCTTCCTGCCGGACCTCGCTGCCGTCCCTTCGCGCCCGCCGCACTCACCCCAGGGGGACCAGCCGCGACTCTACCCACCCCCACCCCACGCCCTCCCGCCCCCCGCGCCATCCTCGCGCACACTCCGTGGCCCCGGAAGGGAAACTTTCCAGAGAGGGGGATGTTCCGGGGGGCCGGTCTCCCTCCCCCTTTAAAAGCCCTGACCTTGCCCCAGCTGCGCACCCCACCCCACCCGCATCCCACCGCCCGGGTGCCGTTTAGCGGTGCCAGGTTGTTGCTGGGGGGAGACTCTCCCCAAAGCGCAGGCGCGGAGAGGAGCCTCGGGCTCCTCACTCCTTGCAGTCCCGGTGGCCTGGGGCGGTGGGGCGTGGGGGAGGTGGGGAGAGGCGGAGAGCTCGGGGTCTCCCGGAACGATCCTTCCGTGGCTTTGAGGGGCTGCGGAAAGGAGAAAGAGATCTGGGCAGGCTGAACACTAAAGAGGCTGAGGAAGGGAGAAGGGCTGGGCAGGGAGTGGAGCCAGGACAGCGCCTGCAGGAAAGGCTCTCTGGGTCCTGGCTGCGGTGCCAGAAGAATGCAGAGAATTTATCTGTGCCCGACACTCCCGTGGCCTAGGCCGACTAGAAGAGCGACTGTCTGAACCCCAGCCCCGGTCTCCTGATCCTGGGCCCAAAGCCCCGCTGTCTCTCTGGCCCTGGCGCTGCCCCAAGGGCACGGAGGACCCTTATCTCCCACAGGCCTGGTTTTCCAGGTGTCTCAGCGCTATCCACTAGCCTGTCCAGCTGCTACTTCTTAAACGCCGGCCTTCCTGAGAAGCCAGGGGTCTTAGGGTGCCGCGTTGTCTGGCTGTAAAGGCAGAGCTTCTATTCCCTTCTTACCACTGCTCTCCCTCCCCCCACGGGTCCTCCTGTTTAAGCACAATTGTCCGCCAGGGATAGCGGTGGAAACAGATGCCTGGAACACGTGTGGTCCTGGAGGAGGGGTAGCAAAGGGTCAGAGTCTGACGGTTCTGTGGACAGTGTGTGTGCTTTGTCGCTCAGCGATGTCTGACTCTTTGCGACCCCATGGACTGCAGCCCGCCAGGCTCCTCTGTCCTTGGGGACTCTCTAGGCAGGAATACATGCTCTCCTCCAGGGGATCTTCCCAACCCAGGGATCAAACCCAGGTCTCCCCGATTGCACACGGTGGACAGTACTTTGGGGAAAATGAACCTAACCCAGTTGCCCTGTTGCAGACCCTCTCTTGCAAGACTTGCCAGCTGACTGGGAGACTCCTTGTCTTTCAAGAAAGGAGATAACACAATTCACTTCTCATATTGCGTCCCTGTCCTTCTGAGAACAACCTGGGGTTAGTGGGTTTCTTACCTCAGAGAAACACTTGCATCCCTGTTTGGGGAGATATTTCCATGTAGTTCAACTTTGTTTTCAGTCTGTGGTCTGTGCATGAGGTGGTCTGAGCCCTCCAGCTTCTCTCCAGGTCAGGCCTTTGGAGGATAGCGAGAACCTGAAGGGGCAAATGGCCTGGAGTGCAGGGAAAAGGCCCTTCTACAACAGGCAGATGGAAATGAAAGTGTGTGAGGATTAAACTGCTATCGCTGTGAACTGGGAGTCAGGAGCTCTGCTCCCTGCCCTTTGTAGGTTACTCTGTGACCTTAACCAAAGTAGTTTGCCTCTCTGGTGTTCCTTTCCCGAATGTAAAATTCAGCAGTTGGATTAGAAAGCTCTACCATTCCTTTCCACGTTTTGCATTGTGTGGTTTCACTGATGAGTGAAATTGGAGGGGAGAAAGGTCCTCCAGCAGGGTAGCTGTTTGGAGAGGTAAATTGCTTAGGATTAGAACCTTGGGTTGGAGGGGTGCAGACTCCCTTATCCTGCCTAAGAATAGCCACTGCCCTGCTCACCCCTGGTGCCTTGGAGTATGAACTCCTGCTGGCTAGGATTTGGCCCACCCATCAAGGCCTCTGGTGAGACATCCTGGCAGGCCAGTCTTTGAGCTGGGCCTTTGGGGAGGGGTTGAGAAAGGGGAAGGCAGCCAAGGGCCAGCAGGGTAAGCAGATTCCCAGGAGACAGTTTGCATCTCAGCTGTTGGGACTTGTTTTAGGATCCGGGCCAGGGACTACAGCACACTCATCCACTCTCTTATGGGAAGAGGGCAAGGAGAGCTCCACTGTGTTGCCCAGCCTGGCCCCACTCACCTCACCTCTGTACTCACCACCCCCAGCTCCCAGCCACCCTCCCAGACCCTGCCACACCAGCCCAGCAGCAGCAGAGAGAGGCTGCCCCAACCCCACCTTGCCTGGACTCCTTCTCTCCTGGGGGTAGCGCTTGCTCAGGAGTTGGGCTCTCCAGGTTGGGACTTGCTCTCTAGCTTAAGAGCCAGAGGCCTTCACGTTCTCCTCGTTTGTTTTCAGCCTTTGGTCTCTGGGTGCTGAGGGGGATATCAAAGGAGATGTGGTGGGCAGAGAGGCCCTGGGCCCAGTTACATGTGGAGCACATTCTCCTGCACTGCTTTTCCCTCTGCTCACTCCCCAGGAGCCCTCTTCCTCTGGGCCTTGCTGCCCACGGGAGTGAAGCTACAGCAGAGGGTGTTGAGGTTAGACACTCGCTCCCCCCCCCCCCCCCAGGGAAGCCTTCCTTACTGCTAGGAGCCCTTGGGATGCAGAATGGAAGCTCCCAGGAAGGTCAATTTCCCAGAAAGTGGCTAATGGTGGAGTCCCTGTCAGAGTGAAGGATGCGGCTGTTGCTAGGCAGAGGCTGCTGTTTCCTCTTGGGGTGTGGCTCTGAGGCTGGCCAGCCAGAGGCCCCGTTAGAAGCAGGAGAAAGTACTCTTGCCTCACAACCAAAGAGGGGTCCCTGGCCCCCTCAGCCTTGGGTCACCAGAAGCACATCTCTCAGGACAAATGCTGCTTCTGCCCCTGCTTCCCCGACTCCTCCCCTGATTCATCACTACTAACACTGTCTGCTTTGACAGTCCTCTCCCAAACCTGGCAGGCTCCTTCAGCCCTCAGTCTGGCTGCACTAATGGACTGATTGGATTTTCTATACTTGGGAGTTTAGGATTTCTGATTGAACATGCAAATTTATGTAAATCAATCTGGGATCTGCCACTGCATCAAAACAACATAGAGTCACAGGCTGGAAGAAATCCTAGAGACAGTCTAGTCCAACGCCCTAGTGTTAAAAATGGGGAAACTGGAAAAAAACAAAAAAAAAGGAGGGAGGTGCGGTGAAATCTAGAGGGGGAAATGATTCATACAGTGGCGAGTGTCAGAAGCAGGGCTCCTGACTCTGGTCTGTTGTTTTACATTGTGCCATTTGCCTTAAATTTCTTGTACATGAAGGGGCCAGGCCAGATTTAAAGCAGAGAGGGCAGTTCTTAAACCTGAGATTGTGGAGACCTAAGTCCTTAGTGGGTCAGAGTTTTATCTCAGAGTCCCTCATGGGCTCTGGTCAGCTCTGTTAACATGCTGAAGAAAAACAACTTCAAATTCTTTAGAGTAGCACCCTTAATATTTTTCCCCAGGCTCTGCCCTGGAGGGATGGAAGACAACGTCCTTCATTGGTTGCTACCTGGTTTGACACTTATGGTTCCCCAGAGCTGAGATTGTATCTGTTCCCAGCATTTCTCATGGTACCAAGCATGTAGTAAGCTGCAATGCCTCCTTCATTGTTGTTGTTGTTAAGATTTTTTTTTTTAATGTGGACCATTTTTAAAGTCTTTATTGAATTTGTTGCAACATTGCTTTTTCTATTTATGTTCTGGCTTTTTGGTCCATGTGGAATCCTAGCTCCCTGACCAGGGATCGAACCCACACCCCTCTACACTGGAAGGCGAAGTCTCAACTACTGGACCCCCAGGGAAGTCCTCAGAGCCTCACCTTTCCATTTCCATGCACATTCCAGTGTCTGCTGCTTCCCTCCATGGCTACAGTGGGAAAAGACCTTTGGTTTTCTATGATTCTCTGCGCACTCTCCTGGAGGTACAGACCAGCTAATCCTCCTCATGGATTTCTGAAGCAGTGACCAACTTAGCAGGCTTTGCTGTAGGAAAGATCTCATTTTTAAGATCAGTGCCAAAGGTGTGTGGGGGCTGCAGAGACGGGCTTGGATCCCAAAGAAGCTGTCTCCCCACTTGAGATGATTTTGATCTGATCTACCTAGCTGGCTGCCATGTGCCCCCTGCTGCCACTTCATGGACTGGGCCTGCGGTGTGGTGCTGTTTGGAGAGCTGAGCCCTCACTTACCCCGCAGTGGCTGTGTACGTTGCAGAGATGATGCTTTGGAGAGTAGTGTGTTCTGACTCAAGATCAAAACCCCAGACTCCTGGCCAAGGCTACCACCAGGCTCTGCTGTAGTCTGAGGAGGGAGCTTGGGACATATTTGGGGTCTTCCTCACCTTCATCCCAAACTCAAGTCTCGCTGCCTCTGAAAGAAGCACCCTTGTCTTCAGCACAGTTCCAAAACACAGCAGGTACAGGGCAGGCACCTCTGGTTCCTCACTGCGCAGTGGCCCTCGGCATCCTATATCCTTAGCTCCCTGTGAGAGAAATCTTTCTCCCTGGGCCTCAGTTTCCCAGTCTGTCACTGATGAATTAATAAGACATCGTCTTTGGGGTGTGGCACCTGCTTGATAATTACCATCTTCACTTCTCTGGGAGTTACATAGATGAAAGAGGCCAGGGAGGCCAGCTTGTTATTAAGGTGAACTATCATTGCTGTTAGTCCTGATTTCTAAAAATCCAGCAGCTGCTGAGAAGAGCCCAGTAGACACAGGTCCCTGAACTTTACACTGGTTCATAAGCTCTGGGAGTTCTCCAAGACTCACTAAGCTTTTTTTTTTTTAAGTATAGGTATTTTGAAAGGAGAAACACCCCATTCT